AGTATCTTCCCAACTGTAGAAGTTAAACTAAAAGGTCTATAATTACTTGGTATAGATTTAGATATTTTAAATATAGGCACCACGGTGGCCTTACGCCAATCCAGTAGTACTATACCAGTCGTTAAAGAGCCCTAAAAATTAGAAACAATGGCTTTGAAATGACAGAGCTCAATTCTTTAAGGACTCATGGGTGTATGCCATCTGGTCCAGGTGCTTTATTCACCTTTATTCTGTCTCAATATTTCTGGATCATATCAATTGTGAGCAGGGGTGGACTGATCATTTGGAAACTCGGGCACTGCCCAAGGGCCCGGGGTCAGTAGGGGGCCCCATGAGATGCCCCTGGTACCTTTTTCCATAGGCTTTTTTGAATTTGGGCAAGGACGGGGGCCCCATGATCCCCTATTGCCCAGGGGCCCCATGAGTTGTCAGTCCGCCCCTGGTTGTGAGCCAATGTGGATCATCTGGAGCTGTGTCAATACCATGCCCATAATGGACAAGAGCTCCCCCATGCTCCTTTGTATACACAGAGCTGAAGAAGTTATTTAATACATTTGCCTTCTCTTTTTGTCCCAGTCACCCACTCTAGATTATTTTGTACATGCTTGGACCTGTTTTTAGGTATGGCTTTTTACTATTAATATCTTTGAAGAATTTTGGGGGGTTTGTATTGCTATCTTTTGCAATCTGTCGTTTGTTTTTAATTTTTGTGACCTTGATTTCCTTTTTACTTATTTTGTTATATTTGTAATGTTCAAACAATGATAGCGTTCCTTCATTTTTATATTTAATAAAAGCTCTTTTCTTAATATTTATAGCTTTTTTAACTTTGGCTGTAAGCCACATAGGTTTGATTTTTAGCCTTTTAAACTTGTTGCCCATGGGAATATATTTTGCAGTGTGTTCACATACACTCTTTTTGAAGAACTCCCATTTCTGTGTTGTGTTCATCAATGCCAATATCCCCTCCCAGTCTAAGACTTGGAGAGCAGCTCTCAGCCTTGGAAAATTAGCTCCTTAAAGTTGAGCATTTTTATTTTTCCTGTATGTGTTTGTTGTTTACAGCTAACAATAAATTAAATCATGTTATGGTCACAGCTACCCAGATGTTCTTTTTATATTACGGTTTTGGTTGTAACATGACAATGTGGAAAATTTCAAGGTGTATGAATAGTTTTTTTCAAGGTACTGTAAATAAAATAAATCTGCTGGTACTTGTAAGTTTCAGCAAAGAAAAATTCAGCAACTAGTTGAAAGTAACAATTAGGTCGCTTTCAGAGAGCAATCACATCCATTCTCCATGTAGGGCTGTGTTTTACTGGTGGGGGATGCACAGGTGTTGTGTGCAACACTGTGCAGGCAGTCCCAAAGATGTCTATTTGGACACAGTGGCTGCACAGACACATCCGCTGATCCCAATGTGACATCCATGCGGGTTCACGGCTCCAAACACACTTGGTGTGCATTCCCTGCCAGTAAAATACGGACCTGCATGGGGCACGGATGTGATCACCCTGTGCTGACTGCTTCTATCATACTAATGTCTTTCTGATAGAAAACAAAAAATGAAGGACACTTACAGAATAGTTACAATCAGAAAAGGAACCCAACAGAAAACAAATCACTTCTACTTGCTATAGCTAAACAAAGTCTAACCTATTATTGGAGCAGAAGTGGAAACACATTTTGAGGAATTGCTATTGGCATCTTCAATCCTTTTTTTTTTTTTTTTCCTAACATATTTAGTGGAGTTTAATATTTACATTTCAAAAAGCTTCTGCTTCAATCCACATTATAATATCAGACTTAATGGTATGTGGTTTTGGACATTGTGGTGCTAGTTTTTGAGTCTGAATACAAAAGGGTTGGAGGTTCATACTGGGTGTAGTACTGGAATGCTTGATTATTCTTTGGTTTTGAATGCTGTTATTAGACCCATGTGTGGTGATATTAGTAAGGAGCAAGCTGAGGTCAGTGACCAAGATAACTAGAATGGGATACTGTACGCTTTGGAATAGGAACAGTGTGTTGGAGACTGCGAATAATCTCTTTCTTGAGTGAGGTGTTTAGAGCGGTAGGTGGCTAAAAATGTATGTATGCTGTTTTTTAGTCATTGCTGTGCAGAGCTTTTACTGGAATGCATTACTGCAATCTGAGATACGTATATGCCTCAGAGTTTGTTACAGAACTGCTGCCTTTTTATTTTCCTCTTTGTTGGTCTGTTAAATATATAATTTAAAGTGTTTTGTTATATCTGTTCAATAAGTGCAAAAAAAACTATTGATCCTGGCAGAACTCCATCATGCTTTCTAATTACTATTCTCTGGTTATGCTGCACTTACAGTAAAGGAAATAAGTATTTGATCCCCTGCTGATTTTGAATGTTTGCCCACTCAGAAAGAAATGATCAGTCTAAAAGTTGAATTGTAGGTGTATTGTAACACTGAGAGACAGATTAGCAACAAACAAATTCAAAAGAAATGCATGTCTAACAAATTATGCACTGATTTGCATTTTCATGAGGGAAATAAATATTTGATCCCCTATCATTCAGCAGGATTTCTGGCTACCAGGTGTCTTTCATACAGGTAACAAGCTTAGATTAGAAGCAGTCTCTCAAAGGGAGCGCTGCTTATCTCATTTTGTTACCTGTATAAAAGACACCTGTCCACAGGAGCAATCAAACAATCAGATTCCAAACTCTCCACCATGGCAAAGATCAAAGAGCTGTCCAAAGATGTCAGGGACAAGATTGTAGACCTACACAAGACTGGATTGGGCTACCAAACTATCGCCAAGCAGACAGGATCTGCCAAGAGGAGTGGGCCAAAATCCCTCCTAAGATGTGTGCAGCCCTGGTGGCCAACTACAGGAAACGTCTGACCTCAGTGATTGCCAACAAGGGATTTTCCACCAATTACTAAGTCGTGTTTTGTGGAGGGGATCAAATACTTATTTCCCTCATGAACATGCAAATCAGTGCATAATTAGTTAGACATGCATTTCTTTTGAATCTTTTGTTGCTATTCTGTCTCTCAGTGTTACAATACACCTACCATTCGATTTTTAGACTGATCATTTCTTTGTGAGTGGGCAAACATTCAAAATCATCAGGGGATCAAATACTTATTTCCTTCACTGTAGAGGAGAAGCATAGCTAAAGCTTTTTTGGCTGTACTTCTCCTTTGGATCACAAGAGTGCAGTTCGATCTTCACTCCTGTGACCCAGATTCAGCTGACAGCGGACTAAAGTTCGCTGTCTGCTAACATGACTCAACTGGTCCATACCCAGGAAAGATCTCACCTTTGCAGTTGGGATCCACCCAGATTCCTAGACTAGCAGCTGGCTCAGCCTCTTAAAGAGCCACTGAGAAACTGAGCCAGCCACTCACAGCCTGGTGCTACTGACCGCTGGAAACGCAGAGAACCAGTGACTGACAGTCCTCAACTCTCTGCTCACTGAACATTAGGAACTGAGCGATCAGCTGTTTTTGATTGCTCATTTCTCAGTCTTAGAAGTGGCAAAGAACAGATGTGGCATTGTACTGATGCTGCATGCACCTTTGGTGAGTGTGTAATTTTTAAAAACCCATACTTCTCTTTTTTTTAAAAGCATAAACAGTGTTATCAGCCCAACCATGTTAACATATGTGGCCTACAGAACACATCTCCCCTTAACTTCAGTTATGGAGAAGATGGGTAAAGGGGGTGTTCTAACATCCTGTTCTAGGGAGACAGCGCTTTTCTTCCATAGATACAGTGATGTGAGTGAGCATGGTAACCCTAGCACAGGAAGTGTTACTGGTAGGATCATCTGGTGAAAAGAAAGAAAGAAACTTGAAAAATGCAGCTACCCTTTTAAGCACTGGTATCTTACACTATTTTTGTTCTTGGGTTTAGATATACTTTTAATGCTAGCCTAGGCACCATGTTTTTGAGACTAGTCCAGGCCTGTCATAAAAACTCAGTATTGGTCATGGTGCATTTCACTATGCCAAAAGCAATGCATAATTATAGCTCTCTTAAAAAATGTTTGTATAGAGTTGACTTTTCATTTTCAGATTAATCTTAAATGTGGAGGTGGAAGCCTATCTGTAGATATTTGTAAAAATCATTGTTTCTGCATCCTTTGTTCCCTTAAGCAGGTAGAAACCCAATAATTAAAATCTTTAACTTGTTCAGGTAATTTCATAAGCTACTTTCCATCTTTTTAAAAGTTATTTCAAAAGGTATTTTCCATAACTGTTTAGGCACCTTCGTGTTACAGGGTGACAACATTCTATCTCTTGTTTTCTAAATGCACACCTGCATTATCACCATAGCACATACATGCATTTTCATTGGAGAGAATATCCGCCATTGCTCACAGTGCAGAAAGCCCTCCCTAATAAGTAAAGTACAGTAATATATATATATAATGTACATCACTATTTTGTCACTACAACACATTTCTTGATATGCCTCGTATGTGTTGGTATTTTTTTTTTTTGCATATAATGCATTCTAAAATTGTAGTTTTTTAAAACTGACACAAATTCCCTACAATTTTGCCTTAGCATTTGCCTGGAGAAAGAAATGGTAATCTGCCCAATTTTGCTTGAACAATCTTCCTTCATCCCATCTTTTTTTGGGTTTAGTTTTTCTTTGAGATAAGGAAGGCATGCTAAAACAAAAAAAAATAAATAGATAAGGGGGTTTGATTTCAACTATATATGGGCTGTGGGGGGTGGGGGGGAGCTTGTGTGTGGCAGGGGGAGGTGACGCAACTGAAATTTGGAGGGGGGGGGGTATGCCAGGTAAATTTTTTTTTTTTTTTTTTAATGATTATACATTTGGATGTGTATTGGGCAAAACTTGTAAACCAGAGTAAAAGTTTGCAAAGTAGAGGATATTCTTATTTCATACATCATAGGCATTTGTACGGAATTTGTACAGCTTTATAGCCATGTTTATTTGCAGACAGGTACATTACTAACTTGCAATTTTGTCATATTTTGCAGGTGATGTACGCAATGATATATATGTCACACTGCTCCAGGGCGACTTTGACAGAGGCAACAAAACCACGGCCAAAAACGTGGAAGTCACAGTATCTGTGTTTGATGAAGATGGGAAAAGGTTGGAGGTAATGTATTTTATCTCAATTGCCTACATGTCTGGCATAACCTTATTTGTTAATTACAGGTATTTGTATCAACATCCCATGCATGTGCAGACATACTGCGAGTCTCTACAAGGTCTATGGGGTCAGAGACCTGTGATGTGTCTGTAAATGAACTCCCTAAAGCACACTCTACATGTGCAGTAATGCCATATGCAGGGGCGGACTGACAACTCATGGGGCCCCCGGGCAATAGGGGATTATGGGGCCCCTGTGTCCTTGCCCAAACTCAAAAAAGCCTATGAAAAAGGTACCAGGGGCATCTCATGGGGCCCCCTACTGACCCCGGGCCCTCGGGCAGTGCCCGAGTTTCCAAATGGTCAGTCCGTCCCTGGCCATATGTCTCCGCCAGGTCCAATAGACTGGCAGAGACCTGCTGTTTTCTGTACATGCACAGGGGCACTTCATGCTTGCACAGATGTGCCTTGGTTTAAGGTCTGTTTTAATATTACATAAAAAAGGAAAGCTAAGTAGGATTTTAAGCAAGTAAAATGGTAAGCAGTAACTTTTATGAACATTTTTTGTTGTGCTCTGTGAATTGGAACGTGTAAAAATATAAAGTGGGTGTTCTACAAATTCTGCTGCAAAAGTGGAAACATGCTTTAATTAATTTTACATTAATCTCATTACAGTGCAAACATTTTTTTAAATTATTTGTAGTGTAAAAATCTGAGTTTTCTATACTTTTGATATTGTTTGAGAACACAATATCAGACTGATTTCCTCTTTAAGCAGAAAAGTCTTTATGCTTTATTGCCATTAATAGCTTTAGTATGTCAGCTTTTAGTGCTTTGTTATAAAGCTGTTCGTTTAGAGAACCTCAGAACACACTGAATGTATTTGTTTTGTCCTCCTCTCTTTCAAGAATGTGATTTACCCGGGGGCAGGAGATGAAGCGATTTCAGAATACAAATCTGTGATATACTATCAAGTGAAGCAGCCCCGCTGGTTTGAAACTGTTAAGGTAATGAAAAGAATGTGGGATGCTTGTCACCAGATTATTGTTTAATTGCAAATACAAATCTAACATATTATCCAAAATAATGATACCACACAAATTAGGTTTAACAATAACAAATCTGCTGTTTCTTTTAACTGGTACTCCATTATTAAATTATTACAATCTTAAATACATTTTTTCTGAATTTAAGTTGGGCCTTTTCTTTTATCTTAGTTTTTATTAACGTAGCAGCCAGTTAGAATTCCCCCTAAATATATTTTAACATTAAAGCTGTACTGCAGTCAGGTATAAGACACAACTTGATGCACCTCTGCAATCATTAAAGTAATGTAAGCCCTCACCTTGTAAAACAGCCAATTCTTTTAAAAATTTCTTTTTTTTTTTTTTCTTTTTGTTCTCTGTTCTCAACTGCATTAGGATCTTGGAGAGATGGGGGTGGCAGAAGCACACTTATCTTCCCAGTGAATGGCTTGGTGGGGGGGTGGAAGGGGGGTTCTAAGCACAGAAAACTGAATTTGCTGTGCTCTCCTACCTAGTGTGATTATTTTGTATGAGGAAAGCAGAGGGACTGACAAGAACATACGTATTTCACACAAAGGAAGCAATACAAAGAGAACAAGATAAGTTTCCATAAAAGTACATGGTACAGCAGGCACATATCAGCAATATGAAATTTTGGTTTGACATACTGTATTCTTTAATATATCCTTGAAATATTTTTTAAATGTAAGCATTGCAAGTACCTTGATTTGACTTATCAGCTTCTTCTAGCCCTTGTACAGCTAAGCTAAGAGAGGGAAAAGCAGCACAAGGTGTTAACCACTTGCCGTCCTTAGGATTTACCCCCCTTCCTGACCATGCCTTTTTTTGCTATTCGGCGCTGCACTATTTCAACTGGTAATTGCACGGTCATGCAATGCTGTACCCAAACGAAATTTGCGTCCTTTTTTCACACAAATAGAGCTTTCTTTCGGTGGTATTTGATCACCTGTGCGCTTTTTATTTTTCGCGCTATAATCAAACAAAATTTTTTGAACGATATAACAATATTTTTTTTTATATAGTAAACTCAAAGTTAGTCATAAATTTATGCCAAAATGTATTCTGCTACAGGTCTTTGGTGAAAAAAAAAAATCCCAATAAGTGTACATTGATTGCTTTGTGTGAAAGTTATAGCATTTACAAACTATGGTATAGATACTGAAATTTACGTAATTTTTTGCAACACAGTGCTGCACTAGTTTAACTGACAATAGCGAGGTCATACAATGCTGTACATAAATGAAATTTATGTCCTTTTTTCACACAAATAGAGCTTTCTTTTGGTGGTATTTGATCACCTGTGCACTTTTTATTTTTTCACGCTATCAATGAAAAAAGACCAAAAATCTTGAAAAAACCCTAAATGTTTTACTTTTGGCTATAAAAAATATATGGTAAACTCAAAGTTGTGAAAAATATTGTTTTGGGTTTTTTTTCAAAATTTTTTAATTTCTGTCATTAAAAAAAAAAATCCCAAAAATTCAAATTTTATCATAAATTTAGGCCAAAATGTGTTTTGCTACATGTTTTTGGTTAAAAAAAATCCCAGTATGTGTATATTGAGTGATTTGTGTGAAAGTTATAGAGTCTACAAACTATAGTATAGATAATTGAATTTACACAGTGTTTACTTTCTGAGAGCCTATCACATTTCTGGAGGTGCTAAAATACCAGGACAGTACAAACACCCCCAAAATGACCCCTTTTCAGAAACTAGACACCCTAAGCTATCAGCTGAGAGGCTGTGCGATACCTCACAAGCATGGTGCAACTGCGGTTTACATAGTGGCACGGAGTCTACGCTCGCGGGAGAGGCGAGGGTGCTTTTAGATATCTCCTCTGCCCTTACATTATCTAATCTCACCAAGATCTGTGTGATCAGATGCTTTCCCAATTTACAAATTGTGCCATTTATATCCTGCAAAACTGAAGCGATGAATTGCTTGTAGCTTCCGATTTCTTAGTCTATAGAGATAATTGGCACCATTCCGGTATCCAATCAGCTCTATGGTCAGCTGGCAGAAAAACCGGCTACATTCTCAGGTTCCCCTGATGACATGTGACTGCCCGAGAAGGCCATGGAAGGCAGTGGGGGAGGAGGGCATCTTCTCCCGCTGCTTGTAAAAGCAATTTTGCTGCTAATTAGCCACTAGGATTGCAGCTGCAGGCATCATCCTGGCATAACCACTCAAAGTCCAGTGATGTACCAGTACGTCGCTGGTCCTTTTGTTGGGGGTGTATATGCTATGTTCTTCTTCTTTTTTTTTTTTTTTTTCTCTTTTTTTATGCAGCCTGTGGGCTGAATGAAAATGAGAAGAGATCTGTCAGAAAAAGTGTTTGGTATGCCCACCATTAGAATATACCGCCCTGCATCCACCCACTTCTAATGGTGGGCACACATGAAATGTACCAAAAAATATTATAATATATATGCTGAAGCATAGGGGCCATCCACCCACTGGCCACCCCAGGCTCCCATGCTTTGGCATACATGCGCCTTTTTTAACTGCGGATGAAAAATCTCATCCAACAGCACTGCAAATGCGGTAGCCAGTTTCCTGACTACCTAAAATTTCTCAAGACCCTGTGTAAGTATGTGCCCTGAATTGTGCCATGCTGTACCCTATACTAATACTCCACTAGTGTGTGGCAGCAACGGAAGCAGTCCTTAATGCAGAGACCAGGGTGGCCAGAACAGGAGGGACAAAAAAAGCGGGTGTCACGCCTAATTCCATGTCTACTACAGAAATTATATCTTTTTTGGTGTGTCCTTTGCGTTGGGGTATCAGGAATGGCATCGGAAAATGCCTCTCATGCTGCCAGCTAACTGCATCTGGGTTTGAGGTTTGGGCCACAGCACCTTCTGGATACAAAAGGGCCATGATGATCTCTTCATGGAATGTTAGGAAGAATCCACTTTTTCCAGTTGCTTTGTAAAGCGCAAAAGCATTATATACACCCTGTTCCAAATTATTATGCATATGATATTTTTCTCATTTACCTAAATAATTGATGTAAATAACAGTCAGCATAATTCTCATGTTATCAACTATTAAGAGTACAATTCAAATTTTATTGAACAAACCTCCTTATGATAACAGTATTTTTTTTTTTAAACATAAAACACTTACAATGCACTGTTCCAAGATATTCCACACAGTAAGTTTCAAAACACTTTATAGGTTGTAAAGAACTGAAAATTGTCATTTGTTGTGTTTGCAGCATATTTACTGAAATCAAAAGCTATTTCAATCAAACTTTTAACAACATTTTAACTTTTTAAACATTTTAACAGGTCACGTTACATTTTAACATAGGACCCCTTATTTGATAGCAGCTTCACAAGTCTTGCATCCATTGAACTTGTGAGTTTTTGGATAGTTTCTGCTTGAATTTGTTTGCAAGATGTCAGAATAGCCTCCCAGTGCTGCTGTTTGGATGTAAACTGCCTCCCACCCTCAGATCTTTTACTTGAGGATGCTCCAAAGGTTCTCAATAGGATTGAGGTCAGGGGAGGATAAAGGCCACACCATGACTTTCTCTCCTTTTATCCCTATAACAGCCATTGATGCAGAGGTATTCTTTGCAGCATGAGATGGTGCATTGTCATGCATGAAGATGATTTTATTACGGAAAGCATAGTTCTTCCTTCTGTACCAGGAAAGAAAGTGGTCAGTCATAAACTCCACATACTTTGCAGAGGTCATCTTTACACCCTGGGGACCCTAAAGGGGCCGATCAGCTCTGTTCCCATGATTCCGGCCTAAAACATGACTCCATCACCGCCTTGCTGATGTCGCAGCCTTGTTGGAACAGGGTGGCCGTCCACCAACCATCCACTACTCTATCCATCTGGACCATACAGGGTTGCACGGCACTCATCAGTGAACAGGACTGTTTGAAAATTAGTCTTCATGTATTTTTCTGGCCAATGCAGCCGTTTCTGCTTGTGAGCATTGGTTATTGGTAGCCGAATAGAAGGTTTATGCACAGTTGCAAGACTCTGGAGGACTCTACACCTTGATGTCCGTGGGACTCCAGAGGCACCAGCAGCTTCAAATATCTGTTTGCGGCTATGTAATGGTATTTTAGCAGCTGCTCTCTTGATCCGATGCATGGATCTGGCAGAAATCTTCCTCAATGTGCCTTTATTTGCACGAACCCGTCTGTGCTCTGAATCAGCCGCAGATCTCTTAATAGTGCGATGATAACGCGTTTCGAAGGGTGCTCCCTTCTTCATCAGAGCTGGGTTGAGCAGATAGTGGCTGAATGTCTCCTTGCTATGGGAACTCTGCCATACTGAAGTTTCTATCTGCTCATCCAGCTCTGATGAAGAAGGGAGCACCCTTCAAAATGCGTTAGTTTTTATCCCCCCCCCCTTTGAATTTACCTGTAACCCTGTGTGGATATGGTTTACTTATGCCTATTTTACCGTCACCTTTGTGAGTACATTTCCTAAATTAAATAAAATTAGTTACTGTTTATTGAGGTAATGCGCAAGGTTTGTGCGCTCTTTCTTTCATCCTCTTCTACAGTTTTATCAAGCTTCCCCAGCTTCATGATAGAGCTGCACAACCTCTGATCACCAGTGGATGAACACGCTGTTTAGTTACTAATGCCCATTTGATCTGAGTCTTTGAACGCAGGAGATAATGGATCTTTGGTGACTGTTAAAGGATAAGTTCACGTTTTTAGGGTGGAACATGTAACATGTTCCCAATGCTGCCGCCCGATCCCCCCCCCCCCCCCCATGACAGAAGTATCGGGAGAAGCTCCCTTTATAGGCTGTCTGTTTTTAAAAACAGGGCGGACATGCGGGGGTCCACCCACATGGCCACGTCATTCATTCACAGGGTGAACTCCAAGTCCCAACAGCCTTAGCGGCTATCGACTTATAGTTTTCATTGAACTACCACAGTACTGTGGGAGCACCGTGGTAGTTCATTGAATCTTCCTGTCAGTATATCTGCTTGCTCGTACATCCCGTAGGGGCAAGCAGGTATACTGACAGGTCTGCAGGAGATCTGCATGGCACCTGCAATCTGCTAATTGCTGGTGCAATGCTTTACAGGCTCCTGCAACCAAAAATAATAAATGCACATTTTTCACCTGTGCATTTATTATTTTTGGTCAAAAGGTGAACTTATCCTTTAAAGCATATGGTGTATTGTGCATAGCAATATGAGTATTTTATATCTGATGGCAAGATTGGCACAATAGACAATTAAGGGTGGCATGTGCTTGGTCATTGCTAGAAATTTATCTAGTTAAATGTGATATTTTTTTCTTCCAGGTTGCGATCCCAATTGAAGATGTGAATCGGAGCCATTTAAGGTTCACGTTTCGCCACAGATCATCCCAAGAGTGTAAGTATAATTTATGTGCCTGTTCATCAACATTTTAGGGATATTTTAAGGGTGTTTAAATGGTGGTGTTCATGGGCCTTTTAAAATATTCAGGCCAAGCAAGCTTTTTATCAGTGTTTCCAGTGTTTTACTAATGTGTGGAAGTTTCTTGAAATGCATCCAGAATTTTACTAAGAATCCCCCTAAGCACAACACCCTAGCGTGATCAGGTGTAGCTGAAAACAATACAAGTGCATAATGCCAATTGCGGGTGGTTATAGGTGCGAGAATTGTAGCTCTTCCCGCACCTGCATCCACTTGCAGAAAAAACAAGCTGCTTTTTAAAAATGCATGGGACTGCCATTCAGTCTTAATGGAACCCCATGCATCTTAAAATGCAGCGTGTTTATGGGATCCGCAGGGAAATAACATGATGCTTTCCCACCCGCTTCATTTTCAAAATGCCAAGAACCTTTTTCCTGCATGAAATGCAGGCACATCAGCCCATTGAGATGAATGGGCTACCGTGCCCGTGCAAATGCACCAAGAAGCAATAGTTTAAATCTAGTCTAAACAGACCCTGAGGCCTGATTCACACGATTGTTTTGCATGGGCACGGCAGCCCATTCATTTGATTGGGCTGCCGTGCTCCTGAAAATGTAGGGAAAATGTTGCTGCATAATTTTTGAAATTACAGCCCATATAGGACCCATCCAGTGCATTTTTCTGTGCAGGTGGTTGCAGCTGCTTGAACAGGTGTGGCCCCGCAACGGCAATCACCCTGACAGCAGTGAACCTAGCCTAAGGTCTGATTGCGGATGCGGGAAGCACACCTGCAAGGTGGATGGATGTATCCTCCCTGCTGTGCTATTGTATTCTGACAGCTGAGACTCCTACACTGTCAAAATACACCGATTAGAGCTGCAGCCACTGATCGAATAAAACTTTTCCAACAATTCCATTTAAGAAAATTTGATCATTAGATTGACTTCTGTTGAGTGGGAACTGCCATAGATAAGTCAAAATTTATCCCATCCCTGCTGAACCAGCCAAATTTCACTCCATCTATAGCCAGCTTAAGTATTTAGTAACCTCTACCACTTGACCAGATTTTTCATTGTGCCTGCCATTGTTACACTACATCGTGGCACGTGTTCTCTTATTTGCTTTCAGTCTATTTTGTGTCACCTCCATAATCAAGGAGAGTACTTCTCCGTAGCACCATAATGGCATTTGGTAGACCTCTGTAGCATCAAGGTAAACCGATTTGGCTGCAATTGCAGTGAACTACCCTGAGAGGGAATGGTCTTTCTCTTGTGATTTCTGAAAGCCCATGCAGGAATCAGGACACCCACTTTCATAACCATCCCTCTGTTGCTTTGAAAATATCAATAAAATACAAACTGCCTATTGGTTCAGAAACCCGCTTTTGGGTCAAGTAGCAAACACTTTTCTAGCCATAAGCACATGTCGGGTTCTTGTATGTTTAAATCTGTAGTACACACAGGGACCAACTGCTATTTACAAGACTCTAGATTCTGTATCCAAAAAAACGAGTTAATTTGTTGCAGCATGATAGAAAAAGTCAGTAACTAAATAATGCTTTTCAGCACTTCCTTGGACTCAAACAACATTCATACAAGGCATACAAGTGTTGTATGTTTTCTTCCACAGCTAAAGACAAGTCAGAGAAGATATTTGCTGTAGCATTTGTGAAGCTAATGAGATACGATGGAACAACACTAAGAGACGGAGAGCATGATCTCATTGTTTACAAGGTAATGCATGTTCCCTCATTAAAATAGAGATGTAACATAGTTTGACTGAATTTTACTCTCGTTGAAACATTGCATGCTTATGGAAGGATGTCCGAAGGAAGTCATAACGTGTATATATTCTTTTTTTGACCTGACCTAGGTTCATCCCATTACATGGGTGAAAATGCACAGGGACACCTTGACTAAAATTACACATGGCAGCTAATCTGCTTCAAACTTGTGTTCCCAGTTTGAAGCACTTAGTGTCTCTTTTAGTTTGTATTAAGATTAGTTAATGTGAAGTAATTTTTATATGATAAATTTCACCTTTTAGACAAATATAATAAATGCACTTATTTGCAGGTTAAAAAAATGTGCATTTATTTTTGTCTACAGGAGCCTAAAAAGCATTGCACCAGCGATAAGTACATCGCTGATGCCATGCGGGTCTCCTGCAGACCTGTCAGAATATCTGCTTGCCGTACGGGATGTACGTGCAAGCAGATATTCTGACCGGAAGCTTCAGTGAACTACCACGGTGCTCCACAGTGCTGTGGTAGTTCATTGAGAACTATAAACCTACAGCCGCTAAGACTTGGAGCTCACCCTGTGAAGGAATGATGTGGTCATGTGGGTGGAGCCCCGCACGGCCACCCTGCTTTTAAAAACTGACAGGTTATACAGGGAACTTCTCCCCATACTTCTGTCATGGGGGGTGGGGATCAGGCAACGACTGCAGCATTGGGAACACGTTGCATGTTCTACCCTAAAAACAGGTTTCATTGAAAACTACAAGCCCACAGCCGCTAAGGCTGTCGGGACTTGCAGTTCATTCATTCACGGAAGTCCATGAATGAATGATACGGCCATGTGGGCGGAGCTCTGCATGGCCACGCTGTTTTCAAATTTGACAAATAGTACAGGGAGACATCTCCCATGCAGCATTGGGAACATGTCACATTTTCCACCCTAAAAACGGGTGGAACATGTAACCTGTTCCTAATGGTGAACTTATCCCTTAAAGTTCCCCTGTAGTACTGAAGTGGGTTTCATGGTATATTTTTTTTTTTTTTTTTACATCCAGACCTGACAAAACAAAATTGTTGACACTGATGGTGTCAAGAGCCGAGAGCTTGCCTATACCCTTCTGCACATTCATATTGTCTAGGTGCTATGATGCTTGGCCTTACCGGCCAATAGAGGCAGTCAGTAGGGGCTAGCAACCTCTGGACATTTTCAGGCAGTGTCACAATTTGCATACTACTGTTTCCCAGGATTCTGGTCTCATATGGTGTGGAAGAAGACAGGGTGGTGTGTAGGTATCACCAGGTGCTTGTGTTGCAGTATAACCCTGTCTAATAACTGTATTTTTAGTGTTCTGACATATTTACTATAAATTGTGCATTGTAAATAGCTGAATGATAGTGGTTAATGAAAAAAAAAAGTCTAGAACTATTCTACTTTGTATATAAGCAGCTGTAAGCATGCTAGATCATGGAAGAGGTTGGCATTGTCCACATTGATGTTTCAAACTGGTTGAGCTTGTCACATATAAAACACTAGCTGATCTGCCTGGGTTGCAGGAAAAAGGTATGAAGACTTATAGTGATATAGAGTAGGCTGTCAATTATACCACATGTACTACAACTTCACTACTGGAAGAACCAAGTGTGTGCATCGTTACTAAGAAAGGCCTTTGCATCAGAATAAACTAAAGATGCGTTCCTCTCTGAGGTTTATGAGCTGGTTGTCTTTGAACCCCAAGCTGCAGACCAAAACGCCAGCCCATTACTTGGTACTCAGGAAAAAGTCTGCTGAGAATTCTTTTTAATGTATTTCTTATACTGCTCTGCTGAGAAAGCTGTTTACATAATAAATAATCTCTACTTAATATAAAAATAGATTTGTGATTTACACCTGTGTTCATCATAGTCGTTGTTTCTCAGAATTATTGGAAATTATTGTAACATTTAATTGGATATCTCTGATTGGTAGAACAAATGCATGAATCACAACTAGAGAATTAAATTATTGTTGCAATTAAGGGCATTAGTCTTAGAAATGGAGGTATTCTGGCTGCTTTTCACTGTGTATAAGTTATTTGTTTATATTTTTGAAGATCTCTTGTTCTCTTATTAAATAGTCTGCTTTTTAAAGAACATTTTATAATTAGCCATTTCCTACTGCTTATGCTTTGTGAGAAATGGCCTATGTGTTCAGTTTTGACCCAAGAGACTTAACAGCATTTTAGTCCGGATATTTATGTATCTGCAATTCATTTCCAAATTGCACATAATGATTTTGTTATTTTTTTTGCAAAAAGGCAGAGGCAAAGAAGCTTGAAGATGCATCAACATACCTCGGCCTCCCTGCAACCAAGATTGAACTGGAGGAGAAAGGACACGCATCTCTTGGGAAGAGCATGCAGAATTTAGGCTGCTGTACCATCAGCAAAGACTCCTTCCAAATATCCACCCTTGTCTGTTCAACTAAACTCACACAGAACGGTAAGTGGGACTTTATTTAGGAAGATCTTGTTCTTACTCTCCTGCAGTAATGTTGGGTTTTGGCTAAATTGCAGATTTCTACCTAAGACATCTTCCAGAGTGTAATATGTGTCTACATTTCATTTATCTCCCATTTCTTTGCGACTAGGATTTCAGAAATAATTTGCAGTGACACCTCCAGGTCACACCTTGTATCATAGTCCAGTGTCGCTTTCAAGGACAAAAAGCAACTTGATATCATGGAACAATTTTCACACAATTGGTTTTCTTGCTATCCTGCGTGTTCATATTATATGCCAGAATTAAAAGGCTGAGCTTGGAGCACCAAACCAATGTAGATAACAATTAACAGTGGGATGTGAATGTAGCTTCTGTTTGAGGGTGATGATGAAGGCAAGTTCCTCTGTGTCACTGTAAGCAGAGATCAGAAGCAGAAGCCAACTCTACCAATTTAGTTAAAAATATCCTAGTTAGAAGATGCTAACTTTTATGATGGTGCAATGATACTGGCGGAAATGAATAAATGTAACTAGTTTCTGAAATTAACAGAACCCTATAGTTAAAAGAAACCTGTTGTGAGAGAAATGTAGAGAATTCAAGTGATGACCCCTTTCTGAAACTATTTGTTGCTTGGTTGTATTCTTAATCCAGTACTTTGGGTAACTGACCTGGAACAAGTATGCCAATGAATAAAGTCACAGGCTCTAATTTGCAAACTTATTGTGGGTGATTGACTCAGACATTATGAAGCCAGAGGGCTATCATGATAACCATGCAACTAACATTTTCAGAAGAGCTCAGCAATAGCAGCCTTCATGTTTGTCTCATGACAGTAAACCAGCACAATATGAATTTAAGACTGAATGCTGAAATTCAGGTCGCCTTTTTAAATTACAAAAATACCATTTTAGTGCTTTGCTAGGTAAAATATGTTTCCTTTCTTTTAGTGGATTTGTTGGGTCTCCTAAAGTGGCGATCTAATACAAACTTACTGCAGCAGAATTTATGCCAGTTAATGAACGTTGATGGAGGAGAAGTTGTTAAGGTAATTCCCAGTCTGTTCACCCTTGTCTGTACTTCAGTTTTTTTTTGCTATGTGTTGTATGTCTCCCATTTGATAAACAATAGGTGATTTAATTGGAAGCATCTCTTGCAAGAAACTAGGGAGACCTGAGCATGAAGGAAAAAAAAAGGGGCTTCATTAGTGTAATGTATGATGTGTAATTCATTAGAGTTATTGTAATGTACAACATAAGCTTCTTAAAATTGATCTGAACGCAAAAAGTTAGAATTGCACCCAAGTAGTATCCTGAAAAATGTACCTTTTTTGTCTTGATTGCTCCTGAAAAATAGCAGTGCACTTCATGTGTCTAAAGCCTCAAAGCTGTATATCTTAGTGTAAGATCTAAAGCACTGCTGCCTTTGATTGCTGTTCTTGCCAAATTTGGAGATGTCACTACTGTGATACTCAGTGTTCCTGGGGTTGAGCTTTAAAAGGGGCACTATCGCTTTGCATATTCAGGGCAAAGTGACAGTCTCTGTGTAAAGCCCACACTTGACCCACTGATACGTCCTTCCTCTCCCTTAGCTGGTGCAAAATACTTGGGGCTTACAGGTGTGTGGGAGCATGTGACCTCCTCCCATAAACGATGTACTTGGACCTAGAAGTCAGTTGCTAGGACTTAAGACTGTTAAATTGCTGGGAGGAAGATGCCACTTCTCCCTTTAGACCCCAATAATGTATATTTTGGGTGATGGAGAACTGTGTCAAGGGAGCAGTGGGTTCCAGAGATGACTTCCTGTTGTAATTCCCAATTTTGCCTCTCCATTCGATGACTATCAATACTCCTGCAGCAGACAAAGTTTGATCAATGCATTTGATTGTTTTGTATTGTAAAATCAATCAAACATCCAGGGGGGAGAATAGTTCCTCCAAAGGTCTCAAAGGACTGGAGTACCTGAACACACAGCTGAGGAGATCAGTGTTTGATTCACTTTTCCACGATCTTTGAACATCAAGCTTTGGGTGAAACGGTCACAAGTTTATGCACATCATAGCAATGGTGCATGCATAATGTAGACACATCAAGCTTCTCATACAACATATTTAGGCACTCTTTATGGGCTTCAGCTGCTCCCTCATTTGCAAACAAAGCTTCAAGGACAGCCCAGTATAACCTCTCCCACTCACAGCTTGCCTCAGTTTTTTGCAAGTGTCCTAGGGGAGTGGATTTCTCCTTTCCTCTGAGATAAGATAAACCTCTTCTTACTTTTATCAAGATTATTTTTCATCTAGCAAGTTTCTTTAGTTGCTTTAAAGTCAAAAGGGCTCATTTTGCAAAGTTCTAGATCTGCTGATCCTCTTCATTGTCATGGAATCTGTACCTGGACCTGCAGGAGGAAGAAACAGGCCAATCTGTAATGGGTCTTTTGGCACTGGACTCCTGAAAGTGCTTGCCTAGGTAACAAAGTCCCATGTGTGAGGCAGTCCCAGAGTGCTTTACAGATCCAGGGCCACAGTGCACCTGTCTGGTGGAACACTGAGGCAACTGAAGAAACCTAAGGGAGTAGGGGACAAGACTGTTTAATTGTGCACACTAGTCGTGCTGCGTAGGTTTTTTTTTTTTTTTTCATTATTGTACCATCTGTCAGCCGCAAGGGCCATTCAGACCACTGCCACGGAACGTTAATAGGGCCCTCCTCTCTCTTGTTAGACAAACATCTGTCTGCTCCTCGCAAGGCTCTGGCCCTGTTTTCCTTGCTGTTACCTCCAGTGACCTGGTTGTAGATGGCTGTTAACTTGCATACTGTTTGTGTGGCTGCTTTATGGTGATGTAGTCGGACAGCCGTTAATTCCTCCTGCCCTGCAATTGGTCCGTGAGTAACCCTTGGTGATACTTGCACAGCAGTCAACAGTGTCAATTATCCATTAACCCCTCTTGCTGTGTAGTTAGTATGTGAGTAAGCCTTGATAATAATTCAATTGTGTACTGTGGGCACGGTGGACATGAGCACAGGGGTAGCAAACCTGTGGGCCTTTCCAGCTCACACTCCTCTGATTTTGGGCAGTTTGCATTATTCCTGAAGGTTTGATCACCAATAGCCCAGGTAACTCTTCCCTGTCACAGTACACATGCTCCTAGACATGACACCCTCTTCTGTGTTACCCGGGGAGGTCCTTATTGACACATTCTGCACATGTCTAGGCCTGGAGCAATATGTCTCTGCTATCTAAAGTTCCCAACCTGGGTTTGCTAAGAAAATCCCCAGGTTGAGAGTTTACTCCTCCCTGGTGTTTTGCGCATCAATAACCTGTTGAGGAGCAGCTCCTTATGGAGTTGAGATTTTAGCCATTTGTCTTACTGTCCCTGTGCAATACTTCCCAGTGTTAAGCATTTCTTCTCTCTAGCAGGACTTACCTTGCAGCTTCTCATGGCTGCCACACTCAGCTGCCAGACCTTGGACGTCTGGTCCCAGGATATGTCCAGGCATTTTGGATCTTTCCTATTTGATTCTTCTTCCTCTATCATGTCTGTGTTGCTGGGCTAGTGGATAATAAACACCTAACATCTAGTTGGTGTCTCCTGTACAATTGTGGAGAACCTGTTAATTTGAACAGTGGTCTGTGGGACACCAGGACATGGGAATGTTTTTGTATATGCCCTTTGATGGAAAATGCCTCTTGACGCATCCCTGGCTGACTTTGCCAAGGACAACACAGAAGGAGAAGATAGCCCTTTTTCCCCCAGAAAGGTGGGTTAGCCTCAGCCTGGGAAACCACATACCTCAAAGGTTGGTTTAAGTACTTTTTGTTTCCCCTGGGCCTCTTAATCCAGGTCAAGATTGGAACTCATACATCTCTACACCTGCTAACAAGTCCTCCTCTCAGTGTGGGAATTCCATGACTTTTCAGAGTGGGGGGGATGTTTATCCTGTACAGCTTCCTGTACCTAGGATATTTCATGCTCTTGTCAGTTACATGGTATCCAGGGGCTGCGAGCTACAATTTTTAATTCGCCTCTGCCTGGGTTCATGTTGTCAAGGCTTCCATAGTCTCCGCTATGCCTGGTAGACCTTCCCTCTCTGGCATGACTCCCCTCTTGGCGGTTAAAGCCACTGTTCTGGAGAAAAATGGTTTTATAGCTTCTACTCAAACCTGTCCAACGTTCCCAAGGCAGTATTTGCCCCATAGTGGATCTAAAAATTCTCTTCACTTTCTCTAATTGAATCAATGGGGTCAGTTATTGCTTCCCTCCATCTGGGAGTCTTCCTGGCCTCTGTGGAAATCAAAGTTTCCTATTCCCATCCTTCCAGGTCATCAAGACTGATTGACTGCAGGATTTTGTCAGACAATGCCTTGACGGTGGCATACATTAAAGCTGAACTCTAAACACATATTCTGTCAGTTCAGGGCATGTCTATTCTTGCTGTTATGTGAAACTGGTCTTGTCTCCGCACCCTTCTGTAGTGTTCTGCAGGTAGTCTTTAGTGGGTGGCACTGCTGGGACCTTGCACAGCTCTGCTATCTGCACAGGTTATGTTCAGAACAGTGGTGGTGTCACTTCTACTTTTACAAGGTAATAAATAGGTTTACTAACAAATTTGGCGACCAGAAAGTAGATGTATATCCTATGTGGCCGCTGAGGAATATAAGTAATTGAAAATTTCTGTGCTTGGAGTTTATCGGATGACGTCCCTTGTGATGACAGAACATAGCCTGCTCATATGACTGATGCCTTTGTGATCTGACTGAATTTACTTGTGTTTGTAAGTACCTGTTATGTTGATTTACTGCACTATGGAGTTCCTCTTTTATTTCTTTCTCGTGGGATGTTGAACTTTGCTGGAAATTACCATTGGGAAACCTAGTGAGGGAGAGATCCATCCATGTGTGATTTCTTATACTGTAAGCACTGGTAGACCTCTTGTGCTGGGGGTCTAAGGTTCTAGTAAGCAGCTGTGGGTGTAGGTGTTGAAGCATTGAAGCATATTTTTCTGTCACTGACAGAGCCCTGAAGCATTATTGTGGCATTGAAGACAACACTTGACTGATTCTTTCATATTGTTGGGACTTTGCATTACCTTTTCTCTTTTTTGCACTGCACTTAAATGTGTTTGTGTCAGTGTTCTTTTTCATGATATATATTTAAATGGTTTTCACATTATTGTTTGAGAAACCGCTCACTACATTTCTGTATATATGCCTTTTGAATTTACAAGGGTTATTGTTTTGTCTACTCTTACTTACAGAACTTACCTTTCTCACTGACACCACTTCAGCGAGGTGAGTCTCTGAATTGGTGGCCATACCTTGTAAAGAACACTTTCTTGTGCTATACAAAGGATAGGTCCTTGTAAGACCCAAGGACCCTTTCTTCCAAAGGTGATTTTTTTTTTTTTTTTCCCTTTCACCTTAAGCAAGACATCTCTCTGTTCTCAAACATCCTAAGAGATCGGCTTTCATTGTCTCTATGCGGTATGCACTATTCAAATCTCTGTCATCTACAGCACCCTTGCAACAACCTTTTTGTTTGTCATTTCCCATGACAAATATAGTTTGATGGGCTGACTGACAGATTGACAACTGCAATGCATGTGGTTGCGGTGTGCCTTTTTATGGGTTAAAACCGGAAATGAAGGGACAACATAACGCCTCCTGTCAAACAACCTCTTAAAAGTAATCTGCTGAAGAACGCTCCTCAGAGGGGGAAGCTCGTGTTAACCACAGCATGGCAGTATAAAAGCGGCTTAAAGGATACAGGTCTCTTCCCTCTGTTCTTATGATCCCCTCCTAATATTGCTTGCTACAAAACTGAGGCAGGCTGGGAGTGTAACAGGTTATACTGGGCTATTATGGCAGCTTTGTTTAGCAGTTCCATATCTCCCAAAGGCAACAGCATTGCTCTTAAATACTTTGTTACAACTAAAATATAACTAAAAGCAAAACTTTTAAAATTTTTAGATACAGGAGAGAGGGATTAGAACGTCTGTCAGGTTTTTATTGCTGTCTGTGTGCCCGTTAATGAGATTCATCCTGTTTGTCCTGGTGATTATTAGCATCATAAGTGAAAGACAATTTCACATTTTAGGTTGTCACAAGAATAGAAGGGAAAGCTTTCAATCGGAATACTAGTTTTCATGACCTTGGAGGCAATCAGGGATTATTTCACTTTGGAGGGATTTCCTCTCACTTCCTATTTTGACTAAGGGTCGGGAAGTAAAGGGAAATCTCCCCAATGGGACACAGATGGCAAAAAACTGATCAGAGTTATACCCTCTTACTCTCTCCAAAATGGAAAAAAAATTCATTTAATTCTACTTTTATCTGGTGTCCTTTTAATGTACTCAAAATTAATTGGATTTCTGAAATCCATTTCCTGAAGTGTTTCCCTTTAACAAACCAAAGTGGTATTTTCAGATCCCCGTTAACATAAATGTTTTTATCTGCAGTCAGTTTAAAATTCCCAGCTAGCATTTTGCACAATTCTAATTTACAAAATGTGCTATGAAGTTGACACAGAATCTCTATCTGTAGTTCTTGCAGGACACTTTGGATGCGCTGTTTAACATCATAATGGAAAACTCTGATACCGAAACATATGATATATTAGTCTTTGATGCCTTGGTAAGTTCTATCAGTGGAAACAAAATGATAAATACAGTGCAGTATTATTTGAAATAATGCTCTTTCCTGTTGCATTTGTTAACATTAAACAGCCGTTGTTTTGAGTTGTCTGCATTATGATCATATTTACCATAAGGTAGGAAATGGTCAAAATATGATATAGTAAAGTTTGCACAATAGCAAAGCGGCTCATATTTTCTTATGATGTGATAGATGTGAAAAAGATAAACTAGAAATATGGTTTGCAGCATTTGTTTCCGGTTTTAGGTCATTTAGGGAAAGGTGTTAGAAAGTTAGATGATGGAGTAATTCTGAAAAGAACCATGTTTTACTTCTCGGTTGTCTGCAAAAATAGATGCTGCATCCTGCGAAAAATGTTTACAATGTGGTTAAAGGATTGCTGCACTTTAAAATAAAAAACTGTTGTTTAGGTCAATCAGGCCTGATACTTGTACTGATTTTATGGTGACCTCACATTCACTGGCTGTGGAGTATAATGTGCCTTTTTAGAGTGTCTCCGGAGACTGCACTTTATATGCTAATGTCCGTGATCGTGCATGTGCTACTACTTCTCTGACTGTCACGCTTATCACAGTGTCTTTAGTCTGTTCTAAAGTCACTGACCTGGAACAGATATTCAGATTGGAAGCAATTATTCCATTCACTTGTACTTTCCAGTTCTGCATGTTGGTTGTGGGTCAGTGTATTAAAGCAGTAATCCAAACACAGCCAGAAATCTAGCATTTTCAGAATGTCAGCACTCTCAGCCTTTTTTTTTTTTTTTTTTTTTTTTCTTTTCTGTACAGTTTTCTTTTGAAGTGGTAGTGCAGTTTTCTTTTGAAAGCTAGTGTGTCATAAAAATGGTGGTTAAAGACCATGCTTCTCCAGGATCCAATCTGCGTGCTTGCCACACATGTCTAAAAGCCTAGGGCTTTGGCCACCTGATTTCCTGTTAATGTGCAGGATCCAAAAATCTAAATACTGGTCCTTCCCTTTAGAAGAACTCACATGCCCAATTCTCTTTGATCACATGACACAGAAGGGATCCTGGAACATTGTTTTCTTCTTTACTGCAGGATCCACCCAGACAGTAATGACGGTTTCAGAGACAAACAATTTATTTTAAATGATCACGTAGATTGAAACATGAATGTGTGTAGTTAGACTGTAGAGAAATGTATAGTGCGGAGGCCGGCTTGGTATATATTTATAACATCTCCAGGATGATAAACAAAAGCCCTTTGCAAATACTTTAGAGCAGGGGTGTCCATCCAATCTGGCCCTCTTTGAAAAAAGTTTGAAGTGAACATGGTGGAGGGCCGAACATTTTTCCGAACATTCTTTGAACCATTACAATTAAATGCAAATAAATTATTTTATGCCAAGTTAATTGCAAACGACATACTTTTCATTTCATAACATTAAGATCAACTGACAGCTGAGTTTTCACAATGTATTGAAAATAAATTTTAAAAAAACTTACCTGCACTAATGTGAAGGGTGAAAAAGGTAGCTGGAGCTGAAGTTTCTGCTCAGCAGCCAGGTGGGGAAGAGAAACACACTTCACGCTGGAAGCCCGGCCCTGACGTCACCGCCCTCTGTCGCTCCCAGCGCGGCGCAGTCACGCATGCGCACTGCTCTCAAGCAGAAGACTGTCTGCCACAGAAGGGAGGGCCGTGCGACAGCCGCATTTACACAGACCAGGGAGAATGCGCCGCAGTCAGGCATGCGCACTGCCCTCTGCTCTCAAGCAGAAGATTGTCTGCCATAGAAGGGAGGGCCGTGGGAGGGCCACATTACACAGAGCAGGGAGGGCTTTTGGAGGGCCATATTAAACCGACCCCCGGGCCGTAAATGGCCCGCGGGCTGGATTTTGGACATGCCTGCTTTAGAGTTTTCTCTTAAAAGCAGGAATTAAAAAAAAAAAATCCAATAATGTATATGTATGAATGTTGGAGAATTCTGTTTTGGTTTGTGACCATGGTCTCCTCCGTGTTTACTTTTCCTGTTGAAATATTTTTTTCTAGAAGTATATCCCATGCTTCAGGCATCTTCTATGTGTGAGATAAAAGGCGGAATCTGCCTTCTACATGTATGCATATTTAATGAGTAAATGTTTTTTATTTTTGTTTTTTCACCATTTCTCAGGTTTTTATTATTGGCCTGATTGCCGATCGAAAGTTTCAGCACTTCAATCCTGTCTTGGAGACCTACATAAAGAAACATTTCAGTGCAACCTTAGCTTACACGTACGTTTAATCTCTACATTATCAAATCAGCAGTGACACTGTGCACTCACTGTAAGGCTACACAGAACGCTGTTAAACTCTGAATGCCTGGGGTTTATACATTCATCACTGATTTCTGACCTATTTAATTCATGCAAATAGATGCTTAATCCTTCCTAATGAAAATCAGCAAAAGTGTTGTTTTGCATTTACCTTTTAATATTCAACGCGGGTTAGTGAGCCTTTCCAGAGAATGCGCACACACGTGCAGCATATCTTAAACAGGGTCTTATGCCTAAATATTTTTCAGGGCAGTGTCCTTACCTTTTTTCGATAGATATACCTTCTAGTTCCAAGCCTTCCTTGTTAATGGGGCCTAAAGCCTGCACTGCAGTTTTCAGGTGTTTAGGTAAAATAAGTTATTGTTAAGTGTGAACATAAAACAAACGTGTCAGACATTTTAAACTTTAAATTTAAGTTATCCACATAGAGCAGGTCCTGTTGTACTCGACTGGAGGACTTTTATATGCATAATAAATATCTAAAACGTGTAACTGTGTCAATCAATTCATGAATAAAAATAGTGAAGAAAATTGATCTCAATCATTACATAGTTAAATAGTGAAAAAAATTAATGTAAATCAATAAATAAAAGCGCAAAATACAAAAAACAAATGTGCAGAAATACATCACATAAGTTCATCAAAAGAAAGTCTGCCACCTAAATAGACGTGTCTCTATGTTAATCAAAAAATGTCTAATGCTAAATGACATAAGATAATTCACCAATAGAGAACATGAAAGCTGAAGATTGTGCTGCAGAGTTCTCTTCAGTAAACCACCACTGTACACCAGCCACCAGATAATCACACCCCTGCTTATCGGAAAGTTAGACCTCATAAACTAAGAGGTTTAACATCACTCATAGGAGAGAACCCAAATATATGGTGGATGCTCAGTCTCTCAGACCAGCCTCTCATCTGCCTGCTCAGCTCCAGTTAAGTCATTCAGAGGGGTACCCAGGTAGGCAAACAATCACGCATGCCATAAAAAGAGGAAGTAGAATTGTCCATAGTGCAGTAACATAGACCACCTTTGATGAAAACCAGGTAACTACTCACATATAAAAAGCAATGTACAGCATTTTACAAAGCCTCCATTAATCTCCCCCAACATCACCGCAGTAGTTCTGCCCTATGAGTTTTATCTGAAAGGATGTCTTCGCAGGGGCTCATATATGAGGATATGCATATGCATATATATATATATATATATATATATATATATATATATATATATATATATATATATATATATATGCAAGGTATATGCATATACCTCCATATACCCTGCAGATAATTTGCTGCTACTCCATACCCAAAATTCTTATTTTTTGGGAATAATCACACCTTATGATAACCTGTCAGGCTCCTATTTTTATAATGCCCATCTGAAAGGAATTTTACACACTGTCCTAGAAACTGAAACTACTTTAGACAACTGCAGTGGTAGTATCAAAAACTATGGTTAGGTGCCCTTTAAGGCTAGCTCTGCCTGATAGTATTTTGCTGTCTGTAGCTGCAACCAAAACCTTTTTTTCCTTTTTTTTTTCCTTTTTTTTTTTTAAATATTGATTTTCTCTCACTATCTGTCAAGCCTTGATCAGCTGTCCCTTTCCTCTACGTATTTCACTTACTCACTGTCCTTATGACCAACATTTGATTGTTTAAATTTACCTATGTTTCAGAAAACTCACAAAAGTGCTAAAAAACTACGTGGAAAATGCCGATAAACCCGGTATCACAGAACAAGTATTTAAAGTAATGAAGGCGCTGGAATATATCTTTAAATTCATTGTGCGCTCAAGAATTTTGTTTATTCAGTAAGTTTTTAATCTATTCTTTACTTGAACATATTTATTTTATTATTCTGACTTTTTAAAATTGTTTTTATTTGCTGATATCACTGAAGAACCTATCCTTTCTTTTCTTGGTTGCTATGGCTGTTCCTGAGCCCCTCACCAAGGCAACCTAGATCGCATAGCCTACTGCTGCTGATCATTTCTGCTCTATTCAATTAATATTAAGATCAAAGGATTAGAAAGGCTGCCTCCATGTATATGGTTAGTATATGTTAAAACTCAACTCCAACTTAAAGAAGTGTTAATAATTGGCATACACAAAGTTAAAGGGTAACTTCACTTTCATGTAGTAAAATATAGCAAATACAATTAATAAAGCATGTACAATTGCTATCATATAGTCCATAATATAATCTATTGTATAATAAAAATGACCTTTCCATGTTATTCTTCATCTTGTACTTTTCTGTAACATTCAATGCATTATGGCAACCTAAAGGTGTTCTGTATGCTGTTGGTGCACAGAATGCCTCCACGGATATCGATTCCTGAAAAAAATTCATGTTCATGAGCTATAGTAGCTAGCACTGCACTTCTTTGTATTTCTATTTAGATGTCGATTCTTATTTGTGTGATTATCTGATTATTTTTCCAGAAGTCTGCATCAAGATACAAGTTAGATTTTAGGCATTACATGCAACAAAAATGTTGTTCTTCCTAGGGGTTAATTACTTCGGAAAGGATACAGACACTTCAACTTTTCTCATTTGAACACTGAGTATGCACCAGCTGACTATAATGAACCAATCACTTTTATATAGAATCAGTTTGCAAAAAGAAATAGTCAAACAAACAGCTATTTCTTCAGAGCAGACCCAGACCGGAATCGGCAGCAAAATTTTTTCTTGTTTTTTGTTTGTTTGTTTTTTTAAACCCTGCAGTGCACGTTGATCAACCAGTGGTGATTGATTATTCTTTTTTTTTTTCCCCAAGAAATGTGGAGTTAATCTTTAAAGTCAGAAAATCAGCTCACGCTCTAATGCTCATCCTCTGGGTTCCTATAGATTTCATGTTCGCTCCCCCTTCAGTTGTAAAGGCAGGGAATGGGGTATACACATGCCATGGCTGTGATGCTTGCTTCGTGGGCACAGCAGCAAACTCCTTGTGTTTAAGTACTACAAATGTACACATCCAGCAGAGCAATGTTGTTGCATTTACAGGCTTAGAACAGGCAGTGAGGAGGTGACCTAACACCTCCACAATGTCTGTCTAATGCCTCTTAAAAGCATTCCAACTGCACCAGAGGGGCGGCAGTACCCATTTCTGGGCACTGTTCCCTGCAAAATTACTATTCAGTGATCTAGTTCTTTCATGGATTGAATGTTCCTCATGACATTGAACCGACTCCTTTGAACTCAGAGCATCATAGACACACCCACTGTAGGTGTAGTCATCAAGTCACTCTAGGCTCACAGTAGAAAACAGAGGTAGCACCATTCCTTATAGCACCCAGCACCACCTACCACAAGACCTGTGACATCATGTGACTGGACAGCAGAATTAAGGGGAAGATAAGATACATATACACATTTTCTTTAAAAACACAGATGGCTGGGTTTTTCACTTGAAATTGCATGATATCAGAGCCGCAGGTCAGTGTGATTTCAGGTGCGACTTGAATGACATCTGTGTGACTTCATGCACAGATGTTTATGCAATTCGCACCTGAAATCCCACAAAATCGTGCAGGAACCTTTTTTTCAAATCAGTGCGGCACCACAAAGTCTGAGTCACACCAATTTTGAAGGGTTCCATTGCCAACAATAGGGAGCGACTTGTCCTGTGATTTGGAATGGTCAAATCGCATGACAAGTCGCATTTTTTTTTTCATGTGGTTGTAACTGCATTGATGCATAAAGATTAGTGCTTTAATCTGCGAGTCTCACCTCTGTATACAGTAACTGAAGGACAGAACAACACACTTAGAGCTTTGGTAGACAAGCATGTGCATCATGTAAGATGAATGCGCCTGAAAGCATGCTGCAAGCTTGACGCAGCTCAGTAGAAGGTTGTAACCACCTTAGGAGGAACTCTGACCTGCTTTGAGCTACTTTTGTATAGTCATTGACTTACATGAGAAAAAAAAAACACAGATCTGATGCAAATAAGTGCCTGTGTACACAATCCCTTACATACTCATATGTACAGACTCGTACAGTGGTATATTTCTCTCTGCCTTTGACATAGAGCATTCTGTAATTTCAGAAAGCCATTTTCATTGGGTTTCACACTAAGGTTTCTTTTTTTCCCCCATTAGACTGTATGAAAACAAAGGAGAGACAGAGTTTATGGAATCTCTGCGGCATCTGTTCAAATCAATCAATGAGATGACAAGCAGTCAGACCGATCAAACTGTTATAGTTAAGGTACGGAAATAAACACATTCAGGTGCTTGACATGGCCCTTGTTGTTGTATTATTTGCAGATTTCACATTTGCGCCTTTATTTTTATCCTATATTCTATGACCCCAAAAACTGGTGAATGCTTCACTATTATACCTGGGCTTGGTGGACATTGCAGAACCATGGGCATTACTTTGGAGTGACACCCCCCCCTCCCCAATCACTTTGTGTGTCTATAGTAATTTGTGCATATTCAGCCAGAAGGGTATTTGCAAGGACTTTATGAAGCTGGCTCTGTGCATACGGACAGTCAAGCTGCAACAGAGACCAAACCACCTCCAAACTTTTACAAGCTTCAGAGTGAAAAATTGTCATAACCCGTTTTGGTGACCGTAACAGTACCTTTAGTGTAAAGGCCTGAATTCCACAATTTGGAGGGTTTCCACATACTATTCGCCATAAAATAAGTGTGATGATCAGGTGTCCAAAAACTTCTGGCTTATTGGGGGAGATGTACTAACACTGGAGAGTGCAAAATCTGATGCAGCTCTGCATAGAAGCCAATCAGCTTCCAGGTTAATCGAACAAGCTGAAATTATAAGCTGATTGGCTACCATGCACAGCTGCACCAGATTCTGTGTTCGCCAGTGTTAGTGAATCTCCCCCATAGTGTATGTTGAGCTATGAATGTGTAGGCTTTGCCTTTCAGCCTAGAAATACAAGCAGTTCTCACCTACTTCGTCCTTGGGATCTCATCTCTGTCACATCTGTTGTATGTGAAATATGTTAGTAATGCAAAATACATTAGACTTGTCAGTGTAAATAAATGTTTTCTTAATTTACAGGAAACCTATGCAGTGAAAATATGGACACTGCAATTGTTGAACTTTCTTTTAAAAATGCTAGTCTGCTTCTTTTATGCTAATTCAATAACCGAGAAGATGAAACAGATTCGCCGACTTTAGCGCATTATCCCAAAAACCTTAGTATAACAAGAAGCAAGTGCATACATTAGGGTTGTTGGTTTTATAGAGATCTGAAAGTTTCATTTGAGTCACTACCTGGATCAAGTAAGCAGGTCAAGGGTTGTGAGAGAGGTCTGAATCACTAATCCTCATGCTTGTTCAACATCAATGACTCCTAGTATTGAAGTCAAAGTCAGCCCTGCAACTAGCATGTTAAGATTTTGGCAGTGGCAGCCCCTCTGTTTTTTCCTTTGAGTAAGAACAAATTTAGTGTTACGGTAAAGTTCCATTGTGAAGTTAGGTTCCTTATGAACATATCACATATTAATACACAACACATTTGGATATGTTAAGCATTGTATTAGATGTTATAGGTTTATTACATGTAAATCATTCTTAGTGGAATTCACCTCTACATACTGAAGAGCCCATTTTGGACCATTAAAGGAGAGGTAAACATTGGTACTTTAGTTCCACTTTAGGGCTTAATTTAATATGGTGAAGGATCTTTATTTTGGCTGTGATGGTAACATTCAAACACCATTGGGCTCATGCTTTTAGGAGACTTCAGATGTGTTTTTGCAAAATTTAGCCGGGCTTGGATGTTTTTTTTTTGTAAGAAAAGGCTTCCGTCTTGCCACTCTACTCCATAGCCCAGACATATGAAGAATATGGGAGATTGTTGTCACATGTACCACACAGCCAGTACTTGCCAGATATTCCTGCAGCTCCTTTAATGTTGCTGTAGGCCTCTTGGCAGCCTCCCAGACCAGTTTTCTTCTTGTCTTTTCATCAATTTTGGAGGGACGTCCAGTTCTTGGTAATGTCACTGTTGCGCCATATTTTCTCCACTTGATGATGACTGTCTTCACTGTGTTCCATGGTATATCTGGATATTATTTTGTACCCTTCTCCTGACTGATGCCTTTTAACAATGAGATCCCTCTGATGCTTTGGAAGCTCTCTTTGTACAACGGCTTTTGCTGTGGGATGTGACTAAGAAAATGTCAGGAAAGACCTACTAGCACAGCTGAACTTCATTTGGGGTTAATCAGAGGCACTTTAAATATAGCAGGTGTGTACTGACTCCTATTTAACATGACTTTGAATGTGATTGTTTAATTCTGAACACAGCAACACCCCCCCCCCCCCCCCAAAATATTTTTTTTTTTTTTTCAATTGAGTTACAGTTAATAGGCCACATTAAAGGTGGAAAAAGTTCTGAAATTATTTACAGTTGTCTCATTTTTTTTATATGTCAGAAACCTGACATTTTAATGGTTGTGTAGAATTTTTATATCTACTGTAGGTGATGCTGCCATGTAATTTCCCAGGTGACATAGGCAGTTAAATCACTGAAAATGATCAAAAATACATCACCAACTTGACTGCAGTGTGACACAAGTATGTAAATCACAATAGCATCTGAACAGAAATTTAAATCCTCTGGCAGGTACGGCAGTAAACATTTACAGCATATGAATATCAACTGCGTATCTAGCTTTTTGTCCAGAGTTCTACTTTAGGACTAATAATCTACTGAAAAGTGGCATTATTTCACATTTCGTCCCTTTTGTGCGTCAGCGCTAAGCATTGTTTAAGACAAATGGATGGAGCAAGCAAAAGCATTACCTCTCTGATAACTGTTCACATGTCGGTAAGAGGAAAATTGCAGTGGGAGAAAAACATGTATCCAAATAGTTTGTTAGGAGCCAAAAAAGGAAATAAGTCAAGAAATTGCCTGAAGCTATTCAAACCTTATTTTTTTTTTCTTTTTCCCAGGGTAATAAGCAGAGTTTAAGATTTCTGGACTTTCAAACACTGATTAGCAATGCAGCACAGCAACGTGAAAAACAAGTGATATATTTGATTAATATCAGAGTGCGGAGATGGCAAAATGGATTTGCAGTTGTGTTGGGGGAAGGGTGTTAGCAGAAAAATCTATTGAGCAATTCACATCGGTCTGTTTTGGTTGTAGGGAAAGAAGTAAAGCATTGCTAATCATGGAATGACTTATAGGTTTATGTAAATGACTTTTGTTTTCATCTCTGGCACTTAAGAACTTAAGGCTAATCAATTCTCTTTGAAGGCTTCATTTGTATTTAGCAAGACGGTTCCATTTGTGTTTTGGATTGGGGATACATGGACAAGTATTGACTGCTGATTACAGTTGCCATTTGACAGTTCAATTTGGTCTGAGCTCCTGGGACAGGAATGGGTGAGGGTTAAAAGGTTAATCAGACACGTGTGTTTCTATCGTTGATTGCAGGGAGGTGGTGGGTAGGGAGGTTTTCATTTCTCGTTTGTACAGGTGAGCATTGAAACCTATGGGTCTCTAGTACAAGCTGAACAGTAATCCTAGCTCATGCTTCAATTATCATGTAGTCATTTAGTGACAGTTCTTTTTAAAGGGTCTGTCCACCAAAAATGTATTTGGTTTCCTGCCAGCTGATGTAAAGTACAACTACCTAGTGGTTTCTCCTGGCTTTGGAAAACTCTGGTGGCAAGATAGGCTACAGCCTTCATGGAATATACACCATTATGGAATATGCAATGCATAGAGATTTTATTTACACACACACACACACACACACACACACACACACACACACAGACACAGACACAGACACAGACACAGACACACACACACACACACACACATCTGAGACCCATGAAGTCTGTAGCATATCTTGCGACAGCACAGCTAGAGATGTGCTTGACAAAAAAGTTCATTCGTTAGGTAAATCGTTTTGTTTCATCATATTCGTTATGTTAGAATGTTCGAATTCCAACCACGGCACTACCTGCCTGGCGTTTGCATGTTCTCCCTGTGCCTGCGTAGGTTTCTGCCGGGTACTTCGGTTTCCTCCCACACGCCAAAGACATGCTGGTAGGATAGTTGGCTCCTGTCTAAATTTGGCCCTAGTATGTGTATGTATGAATGTGAGTTAGGGACCTGAGATTGTAGGCTCCTTGAGGGCAGGGACTGATGTGAATGTACAATATATATGTAAAGCGTTGTGTAAACTGACAACACTATATATGAGTACCTGTAATAAATAAAATCTATTCGGATTTGTTTTGTATGTTCGTTGTTTCAAATCAAACATGTTAATTTGTTATTTTGGGAGATTACTTATGCGCTCTCATCCCTGCTAGTCCAATCCACAAAGAGAAATGGAATAAGATGATTGGACGATATTGACTGTAGTCATGTGCACCCGAAAGTAATGAATGAAACAAAATTAATTTTTGCATATTTATTTTAATGTTTCCATTCCATATGTAGTGCATTTTTTTATAATGAAAAATGTTATTGCAAATAGAAACAGCTGATTGTCCAAAGACTACCATGCTGCTCTCATCCAAATCAATTTGGATCTTTTATTATGTTACGTTATTTTCGGATGCTTCAAACAGTAACAAAAGCCACAAACTGTCGCATTATGTCTTCCGAAATAAACAAATTTATACAAATTAATTTGTTGTTTTCATTATTTTTTTCGGACTCGTTGAAATTCGCTACTTTTGTGATTTGGATACATCAGAATTTCGGAATAATGGAAATTCCGTCTGGAAACTAAATGAATCACACGTCTACCCTTAGGCAGTGTTTGTCTGAAAGCTCTGACTGAGCTGTTTTTTAAGGGATGACTGATCTCTTAAGACTTAAACAGCTTGAGCTGATGAGTCCTGTTAACAGCTTTTTTTCAGCCAATTTGAAAGCCTGAATAGATATCCAAATAAAAGAAGGTGAAATTGGAACCTGCAAATATTTTTCTACCTGAAAACTGGACTGTTTGCTTCCATTTACAGTCTAGTTGTCCCAGTTACTGGCCTGTCTTATCTTTCTGTAGCCTTAATGAAATGCTAGAAATAGAAAAATAAAGAAAAATAACAGGTTGAAGATATTGACAAAATTGAAGTAATAAAACATCCCAAGAATTATTTCCGTTTGTAACATGTTTCTGAATAACTATTGCTCAATTTATATAACATCTGTCCAAAATGCTAACACGTGTAACTCCACCTTCCCTGCTTACCTTGGAGCTTTCCTG